AACAGTAGTGCAATAGGAATTCCATTCCTATACACTGTAAATCCCATATATATATATATATATATATATATATATATATATATAGCTTCATTATGACCTGATGTGATCATGCATATTTGTTATATCACAAATAATCAGGAAAATTCATTCTGCCTAATATAGGAGTATGTGGAATTCAATTTTGAGAGTATTTTCTTTTTTAATCAGACTTTTGTTGCTTATGTATTTAAGTCTTCATCTTTTCTTTTATTTCTTTTTTTTTTCCAGGCCAAAAGGTTTGTTTTGCTGACTTCAAGCACCCCTGCTACAAAATGGCCTACTTCCAGGAGCTGTCCAGCCGAGTGAGCTTTCAGGAGGCACGCCTGGCTTGTGAGAGTGAGGGAGGAGCCCTTCTCAGCCTTGAGAATGAAGCAGAACAGAAGTTAATAGAAAGCATGTTGCAAAACCTGACAAAACCAGGAACAGGGATTTCTGATGGTGATTTCTGGATAGGGCTTTGGAGAAATGGAGAGGGGCCTGCCTCTGGGGCCTGCCCAGATCTCTACCAGTGGTCTGATGGAAGCAGTTCCCCGTACCGGTGAGTAGAGTCCTCAGGAGGTGAATGTGCTCTGGGGACTCGGGAGGGCAAAGGGAAGTTTCTGTTACCTGGAGACGATGGCAGCATAGAAGGGGCAACATCACCCAGGTGTGTTCCTGCTGCTCTGTATTTGCAGAAACTGGTATACTGATGAACCTTCCTGTGGAAGTGAGAAATGCGTTGTGATGTATCATCAACCAACGGCCAATCCTGGCCTTGGGGGCCCCTACCTTTACCAGTGGAATGATGACAGGTGCAACATGAAACACAATTACATCTGCAAGTACGAGCCAGGTAGGAAGTATTGCAAGTCGGAACAGCAGATTTTGTGCCTATTTTCTTATTTCGAGTTTTAGCTTCAAGATTTGCTACCTTCGCTCTCTTGTTTTTCTGCTCTGAAACACGGACTTACTTTGCAGCTTGTCCTATCACTACCGTACGTTACAGAACAAACTGCCCGATGAGTTAAGTACAAGTAGAGCAACTAGGAACTATAGAAACGAGAGTGACTAGAAATAGAAACTACAGTTAATAGAAATAGAAGTAGGGAGGAACTGGAAGCATCTGGGGAGGCGTCTTTAAGAGAAAATAATCATTTCTCACATTAAGGTCAAGTTATGTTTTTGTAAATAGATTTTATGAAAAATGTATCTATTTTAAAATATTTAAAATACTTAGCGTAATGTGTAGGAAAAAGATATACGTCACCATGGAAACTATAGATTTATGTATCTGAGCAACAGTTCTTGAGGGGCTTATCTGGGGTATGTAAGGGAACAGAGGAACTTTCTCTTAGAACATTAGCTTATCATGTCATGGATACATGGCACGTGCTCTTCAGTGAATGTCAGAACTGTCATAGCTCATTGAATCATAGTGAAAAAAGTAGAGGCATGTGCCATGTTCTTCCTGTGATCCTCATCCTTTGAAATACGCCTTTTTATTATTTTTTTNATATATATATGTATATATATATAGTGTGTGTGTGTGTGTGTGTATAGGGCCAAAACTATGTGTACACATTTTAAGAAAGGAAAAAAACAGTATTAAAATTGCAATACTCAATATATACTGATAAAAAAAGATGAATACAAGTGAGGTTTGACTTCTGCAATTATAAGAGGTGCTCAAAGTGGTTACCATCAGTGTAATTTTAATACAGTTTTTTCCTTTCTTCAAAGGTGCATACATTATTTTGGCACTCTCTGGGCACCCTCATATAAACTTGCAGTGTGTCCATAATTTCCTGAACACTGCCTTGCTAGAGCTGAACTACTAATGACTTTTTAGTTCAAAATCTGTGGACACAGCTGATATTCAATCAATACACTTTGGAGTTACTATCTATCTGTAGGTGGTAATTGGCCACTGCTTTGACCCTCTGAGAGTCTGCCTGCAATGCAGCCACCACAGTGTCCACACCCTCACCCAGGACCCTGGACCACTCCATCACCCATAGCCCTGGCGAGTGTCAAACCTGGCTGTTGTCCAGGGCCTGGGAAGTGTTAGTTGTTAATTATTTTAAATGTAACCCCTGTCTGTGGATTTTTCTTTTATTATTATTATTTCTCGACAGACTAACATTTATCTACAGATTAAAATTTCTAGTGCCTGATAGTGGTATTAGGAATTTCCTCATGACACTTGAAGCTGTCATGCATTTAATTAGAAGTGCTGTTTTAATTTTATAAACAAGTTAATTTTCACCATCATTTTTGTATCTTAATCATAAATAATAAATGTGTTGCAGTCATTTTTTTAATATATCAAAGATAATGAACAGAGACTTTTAACATATAAATCATACTTATGCATCCTCTGTTGACTTTGTTACATAAATCACCTTTACTTATTAAAACTTCGGGCTGATGTTTTTTTTTAATTTTATTTGGATTTTTGATATGTTGCAAAAAATCTTGTTGGACAAGTTTAATATTTTAAAAGTGCTGGAACCAAATTCAAGTCTGAGAGTTCTTGGAGTGAAAAACTCCAAGTTGAAAACTCAAGGGAATGCAGTTGAGATATTTTGAGACTTAGAAATATGTAAAAGATGCAGAAGATGAAAATGGAAACAGAGCTTGATTTAAAAATACAGGCATAAAAATCATTAGACTTAATGGCATTGTTAGAATATTACCAGAAACAACAATTTTAAATAAGGAAGACATCACAAAACCTAATAATAAATTTGGAGAAATTAAAAAAAAAATAGACTCGGGGTGGTGAACACACAATGTGTTGATATATAGATGATCTATTACAGAATTGTTCACCTGAAATCTATGTAACTTTACTAACAATTGTCACCCCAATAAACTTAAAATAATAATAATAATAATAATAATAATAATAATAATAATGGGATTAGAATCAACCATTGGGACTTCCATAATCACCTCTCAAGGAATGTTTATTTTATATAGATTTATCCGTTTGGAATCTCTTTAGTTCCAGTTTCCTGTGGTCATTCATACTAGAGTGTTATTTTTCATTAACAATTGGTTGGGACAGTCTGTTAATTTGTTCATATTATTCAGTGTGTTGCTCCTGGGTCTCGATCACAGTTAATGAGACAGAGAGGACAACTGGCTGTCTTACTTGCACTGCAGGAACTGCCATTTTATTAGTTGGCTGTTCTCAGCTTGTGTCAAGTTATTGAATGCCTGTCATTCAAACACCGTTGTGAGGTCAGTGACCTTGCACTGATTTCTGCTCCCTCCTGACTCTGAGTGTCATCATAGGTCATTAATTGCTGGTTCTGGGAGAGAATGGATGTGATACCAAAACTGGCTCAGTGTGATATACTGTAATTAAGAGTACAGACCTTGAATGCTTTAATTTTTAGCCAGTGTTTATGTACGTTAACACCCCAGCCCTCTGCTACTGACGAATGTTCTTGACTGGCTACAAAATTAAATACACAGTGAAGAAAGCCTCCAACCTCAACAAGAACAATGTTCATACAGATGAATCATAAGAAAGTAGTAAATCTGTGCCTTAATCTCTTAGGATAAAGTAATTCAACTTAATTTTACATAAACTCATACGATAGTGTGTTTTCCAAGGCTAAACCTAAGCTGAAATCAGGGAAAGACTAGTGGATGCCATGGACAGACAGCAGGTTGAAAATAAGAAATAGTGACAGAGAGAGATTCATGACAGCTGTAAAAGCTGATAGCAGAGATCAGAGGTGAACCAAAGAAGCTAATGGAAAACAGAACAAAACAGCTTGACCATTCAGCAGATTGTCTGCATAATCTTGGCATACATGTTTGGTGGTACATGGAGGAAAGAGTAAACAGTAGTGCAATAGGAATTCCATTCCTATACACTGTAAATCCCATATATATATATATATATATATATATATATATATATATATATA